AACCCGCACTCCCCAAGTTTAGTGACAGATCCTGTCCTGCACACGCCGCCTGCTGGGCACTGAGTTAAACCGGGCCCTGCTGCCCCACGCTGGGCTGGCCAGTGCCTGCCTGCGGCCGCGTGGGCATGGAGGGGGCGGCCAGCGCTGGCTGCTGGGCCTGCTGCTCCTGGGGGGCTGCCTCTGACTCCTGCCTGGAGCCCCGGACCGTGGGGTGCTGCTCCCTGCTCACCACAGGAGTCCCCAGGAGCCCTGGACTCCATCTTGGAGGCCCAGCTCCCCGCCTGGCGGCTCCTCACCGTCCTCGGGAAGTGGGGGGTGGCCTCCTGAGACGACGCTTGCTGTGAGGAGGCAGAACCCCCCCCCCAAACTGCTGTCCGAGAGCCCCCGCCCCCAGGGGGGCCTCCACAAAGGGGAGTGGGCAGCAGAGGTGCTGCCGTCCACCCCGTCTGGGGGCCGACACCCACAGCACCACACACGCGGGGGGACAGACGGGGGAGGGTGGGGAGCGGGGAGCAGTGGACTGATGGAAGGCAGGGGGCTGGGCAGCGGGTGGATGAGCAGCGGAGGAGGGGCGAGTCCACAGTGGAGTGCGTGGATGATGGCCAGCCTGCGCCCTTCTAGTCCTGCTGGGCTGGGCCAGGAGGAAGAGCCCACTGGATCCAGGCCCGGGCCTGGGGGACACCAGCGGGAGTCCACCACGTGTGGGGAAGGGCTGGCCAGCGAGCACACCCCTTCCCATGGACCTGGCTCCACTGAGGGCCACCCTGGCCTACGTGGCCAGCCCAGCCCAGCCCGCGGTGGGCCTCCTTGCTAGGCTAACCCCGGCCTCCGAGCGCCAGGGCAGGCTGCAGCGGGCGCCCACCAGGCCTAGCCAGCCCGTCCGTCTCGCGGCACAATCATTTCACCGTGGCAGGAAGAGGGGCCCGTGCTGGCCGAGGTGCCCCTCCAGCTGGGGGCTGGGGTGTGGCACTGACCGGCCCTGACCCACCACCCAGGTGCTGGGGGCGGAGGTGCTGGCTGAGCGGGGCCGATGGGCACGAGGGGCCGGAGCCTGAAGGCCCTGAGTCAGGGCTCCGCATCCAGGCGCCGGCAGAGCGTCACCCCGGCCCCGGCCCAAGGGCTAAATTTCCCCTTGTGGCGAGGACAGGCCGTGTCCCATCTTCCCCCTCTTTGTTAGCTCTGGGCTGCCGGCAGCACCGTCCCGCCACCCTCGCCTCCACGCTGTGGACTCGGCCACCACAGCTCTCCCACTACAGCCCGAGGGAATCCACCTTTGCCCAACCAGGGCTTCTGGAAGGTTCTCCCGGCTGCCAAGAGGGCTTTCCGCCACCCGAGGTGCCATGTCTCTGGGCTAAGCTGCCTTCTCAGCTGCCCCCGCAGAGCCACCGAGCCCCGCGGCCTCCCTCCCGGGGCCTCCTGTCTGCATCCAGCACCTTCTCCTGGTGGTGGGGACCCTCAGACCCTAGGGTGTCGGGAGTAGAGGGGTGTCTGGGAGCAGGTGGAGCCTGCGTCCACGGAGTGAGAGTGTGTGGCCGGCCGCCGTGGGGTGGTTCTGGGCCCCTCGGCTGGCCCAGCTTGGCGTGGATGCTGCGTCTGATGCGCTCCCCACCGCGGGGCGGCAGGGCTCCCTGGGGCCGCCCTAGGGTGGGGCTGGGAGCAGCGCTGGGTTCCCTCCCACCTCGAGGGGCTGGACACGCCCAGTCCAGGCCCTGCTGCCCCCCATGCTACCTCAGGGCTCACAGAGCAGAGGCCAGGAGCCTATCGGGGTCTGGACGGCGAGGGCACCCACACCCGCCTCTCCTGCCCGCAGGCGCACCCACTGTCCACACGTCCCCTGCACCCCACAGCATGGCCTGCGGCCACCCAAGGGCCTGGCCAGCAGGGAGCACCCCAGGGGCAGTGGCCTTGGCCGGAGGCTCCCGCCCAGCCGTGTCTCCCGTCCCTGCTCCCGGAGGCGAGCGACTGCTTGCTGGCCTCCGGGCCCCTGTCCACGCAGGAACCAGCGTGGACCTTCTGGCCACTCCCGCCCGCTCCCGGAATGAGAATATGGGCCAGAGCCTTGGTGGCTGTTTATCCTTCCTGCCGCCTCCGCCGGCCCAGCTCCCTGAGGCTCGGCTGGGGGCTGGGGTCTCCCACACCCCTGGCGTCCTTGGGGGCGTGGCGGCCGGGGGCCCGCGGGGCAGGGGTGGGGGGTGGCCGCAGGAGCGCTGGGGGCCGGGTGCCCGTCGGCGGCTGTGGAAGCTGGGAGCCTGGAGGGGCTGCTCCCCGGGCCCCGCCCTCTCAGGGAGACCTTTTTTTACAACCCATTTCACAGTTTCCAGAAGAGGAGGTGCCGGCCCTGCCCCCGCTCCAGCCTGCCCCCCGCCCCGCCCCTCTGCCCTTCCCGGCACCCCTGTGGGGAGCCCCCAGCAGGCCGGCGGGGGGGAGTGGAGGGCGCCGGATGGCCCTGGGTGCCGGACAGGGGCCAGGACAGCTGCGGTTGACTCCCCGGGGCTCAGAGACTGGGCTCCCGCCCAGGTGCCCCGGGGCTGCCCGGCATCCGTTGACCATCTTGCTCCCGACAGGTGGGCCTAGGGGGCAGGATGGGGGAGGAAGGCCGCGCTCCCCGGGCTCTCCTGGCCACACAGGGTGGCCTCTCCCGAGGCCGGTGGCTTCCCGCCCGCACAGCGGCCCTGTGGGTGGGGGGCCGGGCTGGGGAGAAAAGCAGTCGCCGCGGCCATGGTCGGCGGTGGGGGGGACAGGCCACCAGGGTGTCGACAGCCCTCCCGGGCGTGCTGGCCTCCGGCTCCGCTCTCTTGGCCAGTCGTGCGCCCAGCCAGACCTCGGCGCCGCCTGGAGCTGGACCCGAGTCACGCCCGAGTGGACACCTGGGCGGGCACCTAGCCGGCGGCGGGGCTGGCCTCTTCCCCAGAGAGCCCTGGGCGCCGTGTCCCTGGGTCAGGGACGTGCCCCAGTGCCTTGTGTAGCCACGGCCGGACGGACACTGAGGGCCACCCTGCCGCCCACGGGGGCCCGGACCGGGGTGGCAGCGTTGGCCGCGAGGACGTGTGTGTGGAGTCAGTGCGAGGGACCGCTCGCCCGGAGGTCCCGCCCCGCCGCTCAGGCCCCACCGGCCCTGCCGTGCTCTGGACGAGGGCCTTGCCAGGAGGAAGGAGCCTCCGGCCCAGTTCCCGGCCAGACTTGGCGGCTTGCTCCGGCCTGGCCGCGGCCCAGCAGCCTCTGCACAGCCCTGTCTGGGGCTGGCTACTGGGCGGCGGGCAGGGGCCAGGGAGGGGGCAGCGGGTCTGCCCACTGCTCCGCTGGCTGGGTGTGGGGCAGCCCCAGGCTCCTGGGCAGGGGAGGTGGCCGGGAGGCTCTGGCACCGCAGTCCCAAGCAGGCCCACCGGGCCCAGCCGGCAGGACCCGAGCCTGCCGCCCTTGCCACTGAGCTTGTGAGGGAGCTGTAGAGACCGGCCGTCCGCGGACAGGCGTGGCCACTTGCTCTTCTGTCGCTGAGGTGGGGCGGAGGAAGAGGGACAGGCCTGGGCCCCAGCGGCCCCAGCGAGGAGACCTGGAGTGGCCCCACTCCCCACTTTCCGTATCCGAACCCCACTTCAGTAGACTCAGAGCGGGCAGCTGTGAGGGAGCCCCCAAGAGCCCCCCAGGGGTCAGAGGCAGGGGAGCTGCCCCCAGATCTGACCCCCTAGTGGGCGATGTCACAACGGAGCCAGAGCAGGCCCGGGCCCAGGCTGAGCTTGGGGGCCTGGCGGGGCTCCGGTGGCGGCCGGCTGCGCCCGCAGGCCCGCGCGGGAGAGCAGGGGAGGGCGCCTCCTGCGAGCCTCGGTTTCCCTCTGGGACGCCCAGCTGCCTTTCCCGCCAGCAGGCCTGGCCGGCCGCCCCGCTCGCGGGGTGTGGGAGAGCCCACGGTGCGGGGTTCCCAGGCCGGGCTCCTGCCTTCATCCAGCCCCGGCGCTGGCTCTGCTTCCCACTGTCCCGGGAGGAGCAGGCCGGGGACTTCCCCAGGAGGGTGGGGGCGGCGGAAGAGGCCTGGCCCCCTGCTCCCCGGGACTGGCGGGGCTGCCCTCCCCCTAGAGCTGGGGCCGCCCTTCCCTCCCAGCCCGCGGTCCCCTCCCCTGGCTGGGCGCCTGCGGTCTGGCCAAGGCCTGTGGCCATCCCAGCCCAGGGTCCGGGAAGTCCCTGGCTCCCGGGCACCTTCACCCCCGCTCCTGGGACCAGCATCTCCTGACACGTGCCCCTGGCCAGCGCTCGCAGGCCCTTCCGTGTGGCCTGTGCCCAGCGGGGACCCCTCGGCGGGAGCCCCCTGTCAGGAGCCCCTCGGCAGGAGCCCCTCGGCGGAAGCCACACACATCCTGTTCACACACACGCGCGGGGGTCCCAGCGGGGCAGCCCCTCCCGCCCCCGCTCCGGGTCTGGCCGCCGCTCCGCTGAGTCACGGCTCTGGGAAGCACCGGGCCAGGCCGGCTGCATGGGGCACCGCAGACTCGCAGCCCCACCTCCTGGCAGGAGACGGCCCCTGTGCCGGGGCTGCGGGCCCCCCAGGCTCTGTGCACTGCCGGACTGGGCACGGCGCCCCCAGTCCCTCTTCTGCCCTCTGAGATGGCCCCGAGCCTGACTCGCTGTCCGGGGGACAGAGGGACATGGTGCCAGGGCAGCCTTGAGTTGGGGGCTCAGCGGCCACTGCCGGGGGGACGGGGTGCTCTGTGCACAGCCTGCATGGTGCGCGCCTTCCTGTGCGCGTGCAGGTCGCCACGGAGACTTTTGGCCTGGCCTCGGCCACTGGACTTGGGCAGAGAGGCCGCAGTCGAGGGTGCAGGTGGGCAGGCTGTGCGGGTGGCGAGCAGCGCCTCTTGTCCCCGACCGCTGGCACCTCTACACCAGGCCTGACCCTGAATGGCTCTGGGGCGCATGTCTGTCCGCAGCCGGGCGAGGCTACCTCCGCCTCCTCGGGCAGGCAAACTACTGCCGGCTGGGCCCCGGCCCTTTCTGGGGGGTGCGGCAGAGCCCTCTGGCAGGGAGGCCTCAGCTGGGGGTGGGGCTCTGCCGCTGGAGGGGCCACATCCGGGGCGCTTGCGCGCACAGCCCTGGCTCCCCTAGCTCCTCTCTTGGGGGTCCAGCCATGGCAGGAGGGTATCAGGGACGTGTGAGGACAAAGCCCAGGAAGTGTCCTGAGCATCACCCTGGGAGGCGGCTCTGGCGGGGCACATCCTGGCCGGCACCTGCCCCCGGTCACCCCCTTCCCTGTGTCCACAGCCGGCAGCCGTCTGATGGCGAACGCGCCCGCCGCCGCCTTCATGGGCAGCTTCCTCAGCAGCAGCCTGGGCTCCGCAGCCTCCGCGCACCCCAGCGGCCCGGCCCCTGCCCCCACGGAGCAGGCCTACCGTGGCTCCCACCCCACCGCCTCCCAGCTCTGGTTCTCCCACTCCCACGAAGGTAAGGGCCCGGCTTGCTGCTACCAGGGGCCAACCCAGGGCTGGGAAAGGGTCGCACCCGGGCGCTGGTGAGGGGCTGCCCCTGCCCAGGAAGCCCCGGGGAGGTGGTAATCGGTTGGAGGCGGGGGTGGGCCCCCTCGGCAGTGGCCTTGGCCAGATGTGCAGGCAGCTGGGCTGAGCGGGAGAGGGGTGGGGCGGAGGGCTCTGGGGAGCGGGGAAATGTGGAGCGCAGCTGGACGGGCGTGCGGCCTGCATCCTCTGGCAGAGGCTGAGCCCGCCCCCCAGATTCCGGAGGCGTGGGCTCCAGATGTGCCAGCCGGCAGGGAGTGGAGGCGTCTGTGGACCCGGTGGCCACCATGGGGCCTGGCCGGGCACGGAGCCCCTCCAGCGCCCACTGCCCTGGGGGTGCTGCCCTGCGCCAGCCATGCCATGGATATGAGTGGCCCTCAGGTGGCATGGCTGGCAGGAGGGGCCCCCACCATCTCTCGGGCCCCGGAGCTCCCCTGGCCATCCCGGGGCTGGGTGCCCCACCGGCTCCCCACAGCCTGTGTCTGCCGGGCTGCCGTCCCTGCGGTGAGCGAAGGGTTAAGCCGGCGGGGCTGGCACGCCGAGAGGTAATTGCAGTTGGCAGCGGGCACAGAGGGCTCCCCGCTCCTGGCACCGGCCCCGCCGCGGCTCAGTGGCTGCTGCCGGCGGCCCTGTGTTTGCAGAGCGCGGACCCACACGCCGCCCGCGCTGGCGTCCAGGCGGGAGATTAGCGCCCCGCGCCGCCGGGGAGCCGGAGAAACCTCTCTTTGTGCGACAAAGAAAAGGGCTGTTTTCCAAACAGGACAGGTGACGAGTGAGGGACGGTTGTTACAGTAATCTGGCCTCGCGCGCCGTGCGGAGCGCACATGTCGGGCGGCCGTGGGGCAAGGGCCCAGGTGGGCAGAGCCGGCCCTCGGCCTGGCGGGGCGTCCGGCCCCCAGCAGGTCTACAGGCGGGAGGAGGGGCCAAGTGCGGGGGGCTGGCGGGGAGCCTGCAGTTGCACGTGGGGCCCTCTCAACCGAAGGAACGCCTGCCTGCCACAGGTGCTCCGCCCGCCGGCCCCTGCAGCGGCGCCCAGTGGGCCGGCGCGGGGCCTGCCCGAGCCCCGTCCCGCCCTCGGGGATCTCGCGGCCAGGAGGGCCGTTTGTGGGCAGCGCCACCTGGCTGGGCGTGGGAGAAGGCGCCCCCTTCCCACCCTTTGGGGGCTGACGGGGGTGGGGGGGCAGACGGAGACCTCAACGGCCTCCAGCCACCCACTTCCCTCCAAGCCAACGGCTGCTGTGGGGGTGCTCACAGCCTGCGGGCACCTGCGCCCACAGCTCCTGCCGCCGGCGCCCACCCGGCTGGGAGGGGTGTCCTGGGGGGACCTGAGGGGGGTGAGGCGGGGCCCCCGTGATGCATCCTCCCGCACCCCCTGCCCGAGCACTGGCGCTCACCTGTCTACCTTGCCCTGAGCCGCTGGCCTCCCGGGCTGGACGTGCCCAAAGTCCGCAGGGTCCACGTTTGGCCTCGGCTCTGTGGACAGGCGCAAGTGGACGTGGGACAGCAGAGGCCAGAGCCTGCCCGTCCCCCCCCGGGACTGAGCACAGGCACGGGGCGGCTGGTGAGAACACCCGTGCCACCTGCCAGGCCGTGCACCTGCAGGTCCCCGCCTCGGTTGACCATGGTATCTCCCCTCTCTGCCTTCAAATGACCGCCCTCCCCAGGATCCCCACCGACGGGGTTCCCCGCCCTCCGCCTCTCCCGGCCGGCCGGCCGCGTGGTACTGCCTGGCGGGTCTCTGGCGGGCGGGCGGGCGGGGCGGCGAGTGGCGGCGCTGGCTGGCTGGCTGGCGGGCGGCCCTGGCAGTGTGCCCGGCTGCTACTTGACTGGGCGCCAGCTGGCTCCCGCGTGCCGGGGCCTGTTTCTCGGCCGTGTGTGCTCGGGAAGGGGGGCGAAGCGGGCGGGGGCACGCGACTCGGCGGAGAGCCGGGCCGCGGGCACCCGGCCGCCTGGGCGGGCTGCTCGGAGGTCCAGAGCACGCCCTCCCGCTTCCGTCCGCTACCCCAGGGGGGCGGGGGCTGGTGCCCGGTCAGTGCCAGGGTCAGGACAGCGTGGCAATTGTGGGCCCGAGCAGGGAGGGGGCCTGGGAGGCCCCGCCCCAGGCAGGCCCCTCCGCCCTGTGCTGAACCCAGCCCGTCATCTGGGGGGCAGCCGTCGGCACAGGCGCGCAGCTTCCTGCTTCCCTGGTAGGGCAGCAGGGGTGCGGGGCCACCCAGGACATCTGGCTGGGGCAGGGTCTGCCTGTCTGGGCCTTGCCCCCCAGGACTCCCACCAGCTGCCGGACGCCCCCTCGGGGACTCAGGGCCAGGGTGGGTGGTGGAACTTCCCAGCAGGCCGAGTCTGTGTCCAGCCACCCTACCCAGCGGGCGGGCCCCACAGCTGGCTCTGTGTCGGCAGCCGGACCCTCCCCCGCTGCCGGCGGGGACCACCCACGGCTGATGAAAGGCAGCTCTGTTCCTGGGGGCTCCTGGGAGGCCGGCCTGCGGCGTGGCAGCCGGGTCTCGGGGGACACTGCGGGCGTGGCAGGCGCACGTGCCAGTGGCTGGTTGGGGCCACACCTGCATGGGCCTGTCTCTACCTAGGCTGGACCAGCCTGCTGCCCGCTACCACTCCAGCGCCCCAAGAGCCCAGGCCGCCACCTCTGTGTGCCCTTGGAGGCCCTGGCAGCTCCATCTCCCCAAGCAGAGGGGCCCCCTCCTCCTGAGGGGTCCCGGGCACCCTCAGCTCCCCTCCCACTGCCAACTCCTTTGCCCAGCGGGGAAAGTGGCCTCTCGATCTGCTCCATCGCTGTCCGTGGCTCCCCAACCCCCGACTGAGGGGCCCAGGCACCCCTGCCCCTGCCCCCTGCCCACCCACAGCACACACCGAGCCTGGGACTGCGCACTGCCAGCCTGGGCAGGCGGCCCGGGCCCCGACACCTCCTCTCCCATGGCCAGGCCCACGCCAGGTGGCCGGGGCCATGTGTGGGGGAGCGTCCGGTCCAGGCCCCTCAGGCCAACTCTGAGTGGATGGGGCAAGACAAGAGCCGAACCCAGAACCCAGGCCCTGAAGGGTGCGCCCAGTGCAGAGAGCCCCGGGTAGGAGCACAGTCTGGCCCCCAGGCCCTCTGGCCACCCAGGGTGGGCCTGGCCAGACGGACTAGGGGTGTCCAGGGAGCAGGCCTGGCACAAGCCATTGGCCAGTCACAGCGCTTGTCAGGGCCTCCTGACCCGCAACGGGTGCCCCGGCAAGACCTGCTCGGGCCTGGGGTCATGGAGGGCATCACTGGTCCTGGCAGCTGCGGGGGGCCCCGAGGCAGGACCCGGCGGATGGTCCCCAGCGGTCAGCTCAGACGGTGGGGAGAACTTCGGAGCAGTTTGAGCGGGTGCCGCCGACGTGGCACAGTCGTTCATCAGAGAGGCCCAGGGAGTGGGGGCTCTGCCCTGTCCTGCGGGTGGGGGCGCTGGAGCCCCAGAAGAGCCGGCCATGCCGCAGGGTCTGCCTGAGCTCCGTGGGTCGGCAGCCTTGAGGTGGGAACCTGGCCCTCTGGTCGACCGGCCAACCCCAGCGACCTGGCCTGACACCCCGCCGGTCCCCAGGCCTCGGGTGCAGCCCGTCTCCCCCAAGAGGGCGGGAAAGGGGGAGGGCTACTCCCCCTGGCTGGGCCGAAGGACCCCATCCCTCTCCCAGCACCCCTCCTCTGTACATGCCAGGGCCCAGCCTCCCGTCTGTCCTTCAGACCCTGCCCGCTGGGTGGCCCCTCCAGGGCTGGCCGCCCAGCGCCCCTCTGGCCCGCGTCCCGGCGGGTGTGTGGCTCCACGCTGGCCCTGTTGTCCCTGGTCCTCGGGACGGGTCTGCCCTCTGGCTGCTCGGCAGGGGGCGCGGCCAGGGTGTGTCGGGCCAGCCTGCTGCTTGTGCCCACCCGGGCCCTCACGCCGCCCCCCCGGCCAGCCCGGCCACCGCTCCTGGGGCGGCCGCGCTGATTCACGGGCCTTTGGGGGTTTTCTTCTTCGCTTCCCACAGCCTGGCCCCCGGAAAGGGAAAGGCCCCTTCTGTGGCCGCACTGGGCATCCTCATCTCCCCGTCTCTCTGCTCCCGGGACCCCCAGCCTCACCCTTGGCTGCCCGCCCTGGCCCCGTGGCCGTGCCCCTCCTGCCGTGTCTCCGCCCCCGGCCCCTTGTCCCCTCTCCTGCCCTGACTCCCCGCCGGGGTTTCCAAGGGCAGCCTGGAGGGGACGAGCCCCAGGAGAGTTCTGCCCCCGCTCCCCGGCCTGGCCCACGGCAGCTCAGTTTCAGAAGCGAGGGCTTGGCCCCGAGGGTGCCGGCAGGAAGGAGCTCTGCTCCCCCAGAGGGCGGTGGGCGGGAGGCCCGGACCGAGAGGTCACAGGGGTCCGTGCCTGGGAAAGGCGTCTGGGAAGGAGGAATTTACAGACTTCTGTTTACCAAAACGAGGCCCCGTAAAACATTTAACAGCAGCCAATTAAAGGGGGACAGCTGTGGGGGCTTAGCCACCCCCATACGACATCCACAGGCTCTGCCCCCGCCCGGCCGCTCTTGGCTCTTGTCAAGTCTCCCAGGAGCTGCGATTAATCTAGGACACATCTGCTCCAGATGTGTCCCCGCACACAAAGCAGGCGGCCAGCCAGGCTTCCCCCTCAGCAGGAGGGGCACCACCAGGCACCGGGTGCGAGCGTGGCCGGCTGGTGGCACCAGGCCTGTGGTGCACGCGCCAGTCCCCCCACAAGGGGCTGGGGAGGGTTTGTGGGGTCTGCACAGCACCACTGGCTCCGGCCTGCTGGGCCAGAGGACGTCAAAATGCACGCTTAGGGGCTGGATGGTTGCCAGCTGCGGCCTGAGGCCTACAGGATTGGGGTGCTGGGACACCGCCGGGGCCTGTTCTGAGGATCCCGGCTCACTCTCTTTCACACTCTGCAGCTCCTTGTCCGTCACCCGAGCTAGGCCTCCCGCCCGCCTGCCCGGGGTCCGCAGAGGCTCCCCGAGTGTCCGGGCCGTGCCGGCCGCCGCGCTGTCCACACAGCCTCGGCCCGGGCCAGTCCGTGCGCCCCAGCTGGCCCTCCCAGAGGCCCAGCAAAAGGGGAGCCATGACAGCCCCGCCACTGAAGGGCGCCGGGAGCGGCGTGGAGGAGGAGCTGTGGCCGCAGGATGGGCCGGGCCGCCGGGTGCTGGCCCACGGTGCTTCCAGCCCCTCTACAGGCATCGCAGATAGGCACAGCCTGGAAGTGTGGGGCTCCAGCTCCCTGGTCCCTCCAGGGCCCCACAACGCAGAGGTTGCTCCCAGAGGCCAGGAGCCCTCAGAACGGACCAGAGGAGCCCCATGGGGGGTGTTGTCCACGGGGAAGCGTTCAGGGATTTCAGGGTCAGAGCGCGTCCTGCCACCCCAGCCCCAGGGGACTCAGGCCCAGGGGCCTTTTCCTCTGCGGGTGGAGGGCAGCCTCGCAGAGAGTCCCTCAAGGGGCCTGCCCCGTGCCTCCCCCTTTGCCCCCATAGCTGCCCACACCTCTGTCCAGGCTTCATCTATTCACTGTGACGAATGCGGGGTCAGCCGGTCACCTCCAGCCCCATGCGAATGCTCGCCCTGACTAGGACAGACTTCACCTCGGCCCAGTCCCATCTCGGGGCACCCCCTCCCCATTTCACAAACACCATCCAGGGAAAGGCCGAAGCCCTGCCCTGGGGTGGGGGCCTGGGAGGGAAGGACACCCGGGCCCATGTCAGGGAGCAGGCGGGGGCGGGAGGGCTGGGGAGGCACCTGTGGTCTGAGCCCTGGCCTGGCCCCCATCCCTGCTGGACCCGCCGGGGCAGGGCCAGCCATGGGAGCACTGGGTGCCGTGCCAGGACAGGCCTCTGGGCCTGTGGTCACTTTTGTCTAATCCTCATTCCTCTGGGGGCAGGGGAGTGCCCAGGTGCCCGCTTCCCCCAGGCACAAGGCCAGTGGATGGGCAGCTCCAGGTCGTGGCTGGTTCTCCGTGGTGGCGGATCCCCTGAGGCCTGGGGCTGCCTTGGAGGGACACAGGGGTCTGTCCGCATGACTGACGCCCCCGGGGTCTTGGGCTCGGGACCAATGCAGGCCTTCCTGGGGGCGGAGCTGCTGCCTCGGGGAGCAGATCTCCGAAGGCAGGAGCGGTCTGCCCCAGCGAGGTGGAAGCCCATGCCAGCCCGGGCTGCCCAGCAGGAGGCCAGCGCCCTCGGCCGCCCCCCAGGCACCTTGGTGGCCCTTTGCTGCTGTGCCACTGCTGCGAGCTGGCGGGAGAGGCATCGAGGCGCCCTCTCACCTGCAGCCTCCTCCCAGCTGTCAGCACGGCCGCCGCAGGGGGACGCACCAGCGTGTTGTCAGCGCGGCCGGCAGGCCTGCCTCTGTGGGGCGCTGGGGGCCACCCCAGGCTCTGTGCCTCCGGGGTTTCGGCACAGGCGTGGGCCAGGGCTGGGGTTGTCTCTGCAGCTGGCCTTCTTGTTTCTCTAGCTCCAGGGTACCCCAGATTTTCAGGGAGCCTGGCATCCACCTTCCTACCCATGAGCCACCTGGATCACCATGGAAACAGCAACGTTCTCTACGGGCAGCATCGTTTCTATGGAACCCAGAAAGGCAAGTGCTGAGTGGGGCTGCAGGGACTGAGGTGCAGGGCAACCCAGGGCAGGGTGGCGGGGGCTGGGCGCTCCTGGGTCTCCAGGTCTCGGGCCACTTGGGGGTGGGAGAGCTGCAGGAGAGGGGGGCTGAGGAGTTGAACTCGTGCTCAGGACACAGCCTGGCAGCCCTGGCCTCTAGGGCTCAGGTGACAGCAGCTGGGAGGGCCCTGCCCACCGCCCCAGCAGTTCGGGGTCCCCAGGAGGAGGCTGGGCGGGTGCAGCCACTGCAGGAGGCGCCTCCAGGGGCACTCCCAGGGTTCCCAGGAGGACACGTGGTGGGGCCAGCAGTGGAGGCCGGCATGGCCACGGCGGGTCAGGCGCAGCTCCAGGAGCCGGGGAGGGGGAGTGGGGGGGGGGCTGCCCTGAGCTGGGTGCAGAGGGGGTGGAGACAGAGACCCAGCAGGGCCTCAGGAGGAAGTGGTTAAGCCTGGGAGGGCCCAGCAGGGGTCTCAGGGAAGGAAATGGACCCTATTAAGGCAGTTTTGGGGCCCTGCCCTGCCATCCCTCCCAGCACCTCCAGCAGATCTGGGCCTACATCTGCCCTGGCAGAGCCCATGGGCTGCGGAGGGGCCGCCCAGGGAGGCTGCCCGCTGGGACTGTGCAGACCCCGTCCCTCCAGGGGACAGACTCGAGTCCCTAGAAACCTGGTCGGCCGGGGTGGGGCCGGCACTCTGTCCAGGGGAGCCCCAGCTGCGGGCCGTCTCCTGGCCCCCATGTCCACCCCGGGGTGCAGCAGGGCCCGTGGCCTCGGCTTTTCACGCGTCCCAGACACTTTGGTTTTGGAAATGGAGCCAATTAATTAGGGTTCTCCCAGGCTACTCCCTGCCCCTTGTTTTAATTAGCAGGAAATTGGCGGGAATCACACAGCCGAGGACAGCATTACGAGTCCCAAATGTTTCCCTGTCCCCCAGCCTGCTCTCCCGGCTCCAGGCCTTCCACCCTGCTTGTCCAGCCTCAGCTGGACCCCGCTGGTCCCCAGCTGGTAACCTGGCCCTGACCCAGGGAGCAGGGGTATCCCGGGTGGCCGGCACCACGTGCTGAGCGGAGTCCAGCGCGGGGTGGGTCCAGGGCTGCAGGGGTCGGAAGCCAAGAGCGAGAGGAGGGGGCTGGCCAGTCGGGCCGCATCCTCTCCTCCATCTTTTAAGGGCTACCCAAGCCCCCCAACCTGGCCTGAGACGCCCAGTTCAGGTGTGGGGAGGGAGGAGTTGGGGGTTTCAGACCCAGCCCACTCCCAGACGTGCAACTCCACTTCCTCAGGGGGTCTTAGCTCATGGGAGCCAGCCGGCGCTGGCTGCTGCACGTCACCCTGGCACAGGGTGGGCAGTGGCGGCACAACACACCCGCTGGCCTCTCAGGCACCCGCTGGGGCAGGGTCCTTCCACTTTAAGGTTCTGATGGCGGTTCCTAGACACCCGGGGAGCGGGGCAGTGCTGGCGACCCAGGACCTTGCCACCCCGAGGACACGCCCCGCCCCCCCCACCGCCCCCGGGCCCTGGACAGAGCTCGGAGTGGGCAGGCATGTCTGCCAAGCACACATGCTTTGCCAGGCAGGCCTGGGGTTAGCCCGGGGGTGCGGGCCTGGGGCTCCGGCTGGCGGGCAACTGAGCCTCCGGTGCCGGCTCCCCGCCAACCTTCACTGCTTGGGCCCACAGATAACTTCTACCTGCGCAACCTGCCCCCCCAGCCCGCACTGCTGCCCACCAACCACGGCTTCCCTGGCGTGGCCCGCGCCGCCCCCGGCCCCTCCATCAGCTCCTGCGGCCGCGAGCGGGGCGAGGCCAGCCCCTTGCCTAAGGGTGCCAAGGAGCTGGACCGCTTCCTCATGGGCAAAGACCTGGGCAAGGACAAGGCCGGCAAGGTGGCCGAGGGCAAGGAGCGGCCGGCGGCGGACGAGGACGGCGGCAAGGAGCGGCACCGAGTGGTGCTGGCTGAGCCGGCTGGCGGGCTCTGCAAGGAGAGCGGGGTGTCCCGGGGCGCCTGTGAGGGCCGCCCCAAGCTCCTGGCCCCCTGCCTCCTCAGCACCAAGGCGCTCAACGGCGAGCTGGGCAAGGCCGCGCCGGCCAGCTGCACGGGGGGATGCTGGGGCGGCCTGGGACGGGCGTGGCGGCCGCTGCGCGCTGCACCAAGGAGGTGGTGGGCCCCCCGGAGGCCGGGCCGGCCTTCAGCGAGTGCCTGGAGCGGCGGCAGATGCTGCACCACGCCGTGTCCTACACGGTGCCGTCCGGCCTGCCTGCGGGGCCCCCGCCGTCCCTCAGCACACCCGCCACCTCCTTCCCCTGCCTGCAGCTGCATGGGGGCCCAGACGGGCTATGCCCGCTGCAGGACAAAGCCCCCCGGGACCTGAAGGCCAGCGGGCCCACCTTCGTGCCTTCCGTGGGACACCTGACCGAAAAAAGCCGCCCCTTCACAGCGGCCGAGGCCTGTGCTGTGGCGGGCGAGGCCAAGGAGCTGCACCTGGACGGCACCGCGGCCTCTGAGCACGCCGCGCCCTACTGCGCCCCCTACGCCCGCCTGAAGGCTGAGGCCAAGGGTGAGCGCCGGCCAGGGGGCTTCGAAGTGGCCCTTAACCCCCGGCTCAAGGGCCTGGAGTACCTCCACAGCGCCGGCCCCGAGGCCCCCTTCCCCGGGCTGTCCAAGGGCGGGCTGGACAAGGGCGGCTACTTCGAGTTGCCCGCCCCCTCCCAGGACTGTGCTCGGCCGAGTCACCAGGACCCGCTGGGCGGGAAGGTCCCCCAGACCTGCTGCACTTTAGACAAGGCTGCCAGCAAGGAGGCAGCCCCGTGTCCCCCAGCGGCCCAGAAGGTGGCCCGGATCCGGCACCAGCAGCACGTGGTGGCCCCTGAGGGGGAGCAGGGGGGCGGTGGGGCAGAGGCCACACGCAAGGCCCTGGAGCTGGCGTCTCTGGGCTATGGCGGGCCTCCCCTGCCGCCATGGGGTGTCCAGTCGGGCCAGGGTGCCCCTGCAGCCATCGGCGAGGAGCGCAAGGGTGGGCCCTACCTTGACCCTTTCGGGGGCAGCCTGCAGCAGGCGGCCTTGCTGCCCCAGGAGCTGCCCGCACCGCCTGACGAGGTCTCGGCCATGAAGAGCCTGCTGCAGTACAGCAACCAAGCGCTGGTCGGCGGGCGTGAAGCGCCCCTTGTGGGCCTGGGTGGCCTCAGGGCCAGTTGTGCCCAGCAGCAGGTGAAGTTCCCAGCCACCAAGGGCCCGGCCTCCGGGGAGGTGGTGCGGCCCGATTGCGCCCGCAGCCGCGAGCACGACACCCTGCCTGGTGATGGTGAGGTGCGGCAGCCGCCCGTGGGCATCGCCGTGGCCTTGGCCCGGCAGAAGGACACCACGAGCCGGCCTGACGCAGCCTATGGCACCCACAGCGGGCGGCCAGGCCGGGCAGCCCCTGCCTTCAAAGGTAGGGGAGGGACCCACCAAGCTGCCCCTGGCCCCGAGCGCCCCTCCCAGCGCGGCCCTGGTATTCCCACACCGGCCGGTCAGGCGGGACCCCACTGGGGACAGCGACGGCTTTGGCCACGGCCCCCGCCTCAGCCTGTCCTTCCCTCTGACCCGAGCAGCTGGTGCTGCGCCCCGAGCCCCCCACGCGTTGGACCTCGAGCCGGAAGAGGACCGGACGCGCCTGTGTGAGGACCGCCTGGGGCTGGCCGGCCGCGAGCTGCTGCTACAGTAAGGGGGGATGCAGTCTGGGGCACCCCCAGCCCACGGCTGGTGCCTACGAGCGGTGTAGGGCCCGTGTTCTCTTGCGCTCCTGCCTGTGCTAGGGCTCTGCCGACTCCCTTGGGTGTCAGGGTCTCTGCGGGAGATGGCCGTGAGCCAACGCCTCCTACTGGGGGGGGTAAGGGTGGGGGGCTGTGCTGAACCCCACCCCGTGACCTGCAGGGACAACAAGGACCTCGTGGAATTCGCCCGGATCCACCCGTCAGGCAGCTGCCCTGGAGACCTGGCCCCCCACCTCATGATTGCCGGCAGCTCCTCCCTGCAGAGCGGCCAGCTGGGTGGGGAGCCGGCCCCCCACCCGCACCCTCCCCACCCACCCTGGCTGCCCCGCACCCGCAGCCCCTCCCTGTGGATGGGGGGACACTCCTACGGTCAGTGCTGCCAGGGCAGTGGGGTGGCAGGTGGCCGTGGGCACGGCGGGCCTGCCCTCACTGTGCCTTGTCCCCAGGCCTCGGGCACCCGGCCCTGCATCAGAACCTGCCTCCCGGCTTCCCCACCTCTGTGCCGAGCTCCATGCCCCCCGTCTTCCCCCTGTCCCAGGACACCCCCACGCAGCTCGTCATCCTGCCCTCGGAGCCCACAGCCCACGCCGCCCCCCACGCGCTGGGTAGGGGCCTCCCGGGCTGGGCTGTGGGCACCGGGGATGCCCGTGGGTCTGAGGAGCAGTGCAGGGTGGGGCTGTGGAGGGCCCCCAGCCAAGGCCTGGAGGGGCAGGGAGGGGGCAGGGTGGGGAGGCCCCGGGGGCTGGGCTGACATCTCCTTGCCCCTGCCCGCAGCTGACGTCATGGACCAGGCCTCTCTGTGGCCCCCGATGTATGGGGCCCGGGGCCCCGCCCCCCACATGCAGCACCCGGGCCAGCTTCCTGTGTACGCGCGACCCCAGTTTCTGCGGCAGCCTGAGCTGTATGCCCTGCAGCAGCCGCAGCCGCAGCCACAGCCACAGCGGCCAGCCCAGGCCCTGGAGCCGCAGCGGGCCGCCCCCTTCCAGGTACCCGCCCGCCCACCCCCCCACCCCCACACCTGTGGTGCCCTGAGAGGGCAGAGACACTGAGCCCGGCCCCACCCCACAGCGGAAGCCCGAGGACCACCACCAGGAGCCGGAGGAGGCCGCCCAGGAGAAAGCCCTTAAGTCCACTCACAAACCAGTTGCCTTACCCGCCTCGGCCAAGGGCGCCCCCTCGCCCGACATCACGGGCCCTACCAAGCTGTCGCCCTGCTGCCACTCGCCCCCCCGGAAGCCCCCCGCCAGCTGCCCCACACCGCCGCCCCACCCCGGCGCCTCCTGTACTTTCTCCGTCTGCCCTGCTGCCAGCTCCGGGCCTGGCCCCAGGGTGCCCAGCGCCAAGGAGAAGGGTGGGGAGGGCCGGCGGCCCAGCGCCAACCTCAGCTCCTTGGAACCAGGTGAGAGCACCTTCCCGCCCGAGTCCCTGCGTCCCAGCGCCCGTGGGCGCCCTCTTCCCGCCTCTGCCTGCCTTTCCATGCCCCTCAGAGTGACCCAAGGGGAGGCACCCGGGGTCCCCAGTAGCTCCTTCCCAGCCCTGGAGCCCCGACCAGGCCATTCCCGCAAGGGGGAGGCAGCTGGCAGGCGCAGGGACGGGCGAGGGAGCAGGCCGGTCGCCGAGCTGGAGCCACCACCTGCTCCCCTGAGGCAAGAAGAGGTGCCTGGGGTCCCGTCCCGCCCTGGCACCCGCCCGCGCTGTCCGGTTCTCCCGGGGAGGCGGGTTCACACGGTGTTTGCGCCGGTGGCGAGGGGCGTGCGGAGACCCGCCCCAGCTCCACACGAAGGAGGCCGGCGGCAGGAGCTGCGGGGTTTTTTTGGTTTTTCTACTTTTTTTTTTATTGCAGTTAATGGGGCGTGATGCCTCCGCAGGCTGCCGCTCGCTCTGGTTCAGGGGAAACCCTGGCTCGAGTGTCTTGTTTTCAACCCCCTTTTCTGGTTAGCCAGACCACATGGTGCTGGAGGTGGCCCCCTAGGACCCCCAAGGTTGCAGCGGGACGGGAGGGGGCTCGGGGCCCTCCCGGCCGTGGGTCCCGGCAGGTGCCGGCTCCCTGACGCGGCCGCTCCTCCGCAGACCTGCCTCCCGGGTACTCGTGCTCTGCCACCAGCTCGGGCTTCTCCCTGGCCGCCGCCTCTGACCTCTCGGACCCTGAAACTATGCAAACCGCCACCCCCAGGGCCCAGCCCGAGCTGGGAAGGACGTTTCCATCCGGGGAGCCACCACCCTGCAGCCCCAAGAGTCTGGAGCCACCCAGGCTACCCTCGGGGGCCAGGGAGGCCACCCAGGACCTCACCGCCACCCCCCACCCTGCCGAGCGGGGACCCCCAGGGAAGGCAGTGGACCTCAGCCTGCTGGAGGGGCTGCGAGAACTGCAGTGTGGGACCCTCCTCAAGGGGGAGGACCCTGAGGCCACTGGCCGGACTAACTCTACTCAGGGAGGGGCCCGGGAGGAAAGGACCACGGCGGGAGACGGGGAGCCAGGGCCCTTGCACGGGGCCGGCCTCCAGGCCCCGGAGCAGCCAGAGGGGGGCCTGGGCGCTGAGGAGGCCGAGCGGGTAGAGCGCCAGGCTCCCGAGGAGGCCGAGCCTGAGCCGGAGGATGAGCACCGGGACGAGGGGCTGGAGGAGGGGGCCCGGAGGGCCGCTCCCCACAGCGGCTGCCTGCCCAGGGCCCTACCAGGCCTGGACGCTCTGGTGGCAGCCACCGTCAACCTGGGGGACCTGCCTGGAGTCGACTCACGGAACCTGCAGCCCCCTGCCGTCCCGGGGCTGCCCAGCACCGCCCCCCTGCCCCGTTGCTCAGGGACCCCTGGAATCGCCCTGCTCAGCGAGCTGGCCGACCTCGAGCCCCAGCAGCAGAGGAGCCCACCTGCCCTGCAAGGTGAGCCCCACCCTCGGCGGCGCCAGGCCAGGCCCAGGGAGGCACTGCGCCCCAGGCAGTTGAGGACACCCCAGCGGGCCAGCCCGCCGTCACCGAGGATGCTGGGCCAGGAGAGGGGCTGCTCTCTGTGGGCCTCCGGCCCCCTCCCAGGCATGGAGGCCGTGGCCCAGGACGGCCCCACAACCCACAGCCTCCCGGGGCTCCAGGCCCCAGGGACGCAACCTGGCCCATCGCCAGCCCCCCACCGGGCTCTGGGGTCGGGGCCCCAGTCACCCCGGCCCAGCCCAACATCGAGGGACCCCAGGAAGCCACTCCCCAGCAGCCGGTGCAGGCCTTGCTGTCTGCGGGGCCTGCCCAGGTGAGCGCTGCTTCGGGAGGGGCCTCCCAGGAGGCCTCTGTGCCCCTGGTGCCCACCACCGCCAGCGGGGCGTGGGGCTCGCCAGGGCACAGCCACTGGGCTGCACGCGGAGGCTGCGGGACGGGCTGCTCTGCATGAGCTGGAGACTGTGCGGGCGGTGTGGCCGCTGGCCGGGCAGGGCGGGGGCGCGTCGCCTGCAATCACCTGCCCCAGGACGTGGCCTCGTGGAGGAGGGGGCGCTGGGGCAAGGGGAGCGATCCAAGGGGCCCTCCTCCCCGCGTCTCCCCAGTCAGGGCAGCGCGATTGGTGAAAGGTGGATGGAGGAATGGGGGGGCACGAGTCCCCAGGTGCAGCACCTCCGTGGGCAGCCAGGGCAGCCGGAGCCCCTCCAGCAGGCCTCAGCCACGGGGCCCGGCTTGCCCGCACCGGGCTCACGTCCAGGGAGCGTGGGGGCGGGGACTCGGCCCCCCGGCGGTGGGTGCCAGGCAGAGGCCTGCACCCTGCGGTGGGTGCCAGGCAGAGGCCGGAAACGCCTGGAGCTCCGCTCCGCCTCTGGCGCGGGGGGAAGGTGTGCCCCTGGGCTCCGTCCACCCTGGGATTTGGGGAAACGCAGGCCTTCCCGGGGCACAGACGCCTCTTTGTTCCAAGATGAGCCTGAACCTGGTGCCGCCCCGCCCAGACCCCCCGTGTCCAGCCGGCCTCCAGCCCTGGCCTTTCCCTGCCTGTCAGCCCCCACTGGCCCGGCGGGGCTGGGGACAGCGAGACGCCACCACGGCCTCGGCAGCAGCCCCTGCCTTCCAAGGACAGGAACCAGAGATCCCGAGACGGGGGCACCCCATGGCCCCCGCCCACATCGCCCGCACCACTGCCCCAGACCAGCGAGGCTGCGTCTCAGCAGGCTGAGCCTGGGGAATGTGCGGGGGGCTCTGAGTGGTCCTGGGGCTCCAAGGAGTAGCCCCTGCAGCGCGGGCCTTGGTGGGCGACGGCAGCTGGGCCCGGCACTTGCCTCCCGAGGTCTGTGCTTAGGTGTCTGGCCCCAAGGGGGGCCCCCCAGACCCCTTCCCATTTGCAGCTGACGCGTGTTTGTGGGGAGGGGAGGGGCTCTGCAACGCCCCTCCTGAACCCACACCCATGTGACGGGGCCTGGCTCTCCCGGCCTCTCTGCCAGCCGCCTCAGCGCCAGGCTTCCCCATGGGCACTCCTACCTGCCCGGCTATTCTCCCGGGACAGAACGGCGGCCAGGAGTGGGGTGCTAGGTGCTCTCATTGCTGTCAGTGGAGGCACAGGACCCCACCCCGGCTCGGGGCTCCCCGCCCCAGTGTGTCCCGGTGGGAGCAGCCTGCCCTTGCATTGCAGCCTGTCTCCGCCACACTCTCTCCCCCCGAGGCTGCACTGGGAATCCCCAGGCCCCTCCAGACCTCCCCCCCAGACATGTCCACGACCTCAGTAGACCCCACACAGGGTGTCCTTCCACACCCCACTGGGGCTGTGACCCCAAGCGGCACCCCGAAGGGCCAACCCTGGGTGGGGTGGAACACAACTCAGGATCACGCGCCTCCCCGCACCCTTCCGTCCCTGCCTGACCTGGACCAGAGGACACCAGAACGTTCCCTGCCTGAATGCAGGGTGGGTAGGGGCCAGGAATGCCCTCTGGGGCCTGAGAGGGAGCCCCCAGGCCTCCGCGTGAGAGTGGAGGAAGGAGGTGCCCCTCAGAGAAGGGTGAACCTGGAGTGAAGTCTGCACGGGTCCAAGCAGCCTGTTTCCCAGAACCTGACAAGGGCCCCCAGCCCCCTGCACTTGACAGTGGCCCTGTCCAGCCCCTCGCGTCAGCCTGCAGGGAAGTGGAGGCACAGGCCACGGCCCCGCCACAGCCACACGTGGGGTAGGCGGTTGCCTGCCCGGCCACTCGGAACTGGGCTCGCGCCGACCCCACGTCTTCTGTTGGAGCGAGGATCCAGGGTGTCTGGGCAGCGCCTGGCACTTCCCGCGTGTCTGCGGACTGGCACGTGCACCATGGGAATGGGCCGATGCAGGCCAGTCCTGCCAGGGGCTGGATGCTTACTGGCCTGTGCAGAACCAGCCGCCCCGCCCCAGGCTCGGCTGTCCTGGCGCTCTGACATGGGCAGCGGGTGGGGGAGTCTGGCCGCACTGCTCGGCAGGCTAACGTCAAGGGCCTCTTTGAGGGGCCATGTCTGACCGCCCGCCCTCGATGATCCTGGTGTCCCTCACAGAGGCGGCGGATGTGCTGGCCTTCAACCTGCAGCGCCTGGCCACGCTGGCCTCGGCCTGGTCCCTGGTGGAGGCAGCCGGCCTGGACGGTCCTACCTGCTCGGCCCGGCCCCCCACCGTGGCCCCTGGCAGGACTGCCGCGCTCACGCCCCGCATGCAGATCCTGCGGCGCAAGGACACCTGGACGCCCAAGACCAAGCCCGTGAGTGGGCCTCTGCGCACCCCGGCCTGCTGCCTCCCGCCCCAGGGCCTGGGCTGGACTCAGGCCCGTGTCCCTGCCTGACAGGTATGCCCACTGAAGGCTGCCATCGACCAGCTGGACACTCAGGAGGTGGCAATGCGGGTGCAGCTGGCAGAGCTCCAGCGGCGCTACAAGGAGAAGCAGCGGGAGCTGGCGCGCCTGCAGCGCAGACGTGACCACGAGTAAGTCGTGGGGCTCGGGCCAGTGAGGGGCAGCCCCATGTCCGGGGAGCTGGGGACCCGTGGGGCTGGGGCTGAGCCTGTCCCGAGGCTGTGGAGGGGTGACGCGTCGGTCCAGCGGAGACCACCAGGCAGCGCCATGCAGGGCAGAGGCCACCCGGCCACTAAGGGAGGGGCGCAGCCTCAGTGAGGCTGGGGGCGGGCGGCAGCGGGGCTCGTTCCCTGTCCCGCCCTCCGGCGCCAGGCTCCCCATGCCAAGCTCTGCAGGGCCTGCCGCCTACCCCACCACCCCTGTGGGCAGTGCCCTCGGCTGGCCTGTGCCTCAGACCGCCCCTCCCGCGGCCCCAGGAGAGACGAGAGCTGCAGAAGCCCTGCCCGGCGGGGGCCTGGACGGCCCCGGAAGCGCAAGTACACCAGCCTGCTGCCTGCCCTGCGCCCCGGCGCCCCGCTGCCCAGGGGGGACAGCAAGAGAGTCAAGTGAGTCGGGCACAGGCGCTGTGGGCGGGCTGGTCCCAGAGGCCAGCATGGCCATGCCCCCCGAAGGTCCAGCATCCCCCTCCCGGAACGGGGCCCGCGTCCCTGGAAGCAGCGCCCTCCACGGCCGGCTCCCGCCAGCCCCCCGGCCGGGCCGCCCGGCCCCCCGCGCGGCCGCGTGGCGTGAAAGCTCTTCATCTCGCTGTGTAAAGCCGTTGGTCACGCTGCGGTGCTGCTCGTGGCTGCCGCGCGGTGTTATTATCCATTACCCGCCCGGCGCCTCGTTGGCACACTCCCGGGCCTGGTATAATTGTCCTTCTCGCTACAAATTGCCTCTCCCGGCAGGCCCATTTGCATAAATCCTCCGAGCTCCTCCAGACACGATTGGCGCGCGCGTGTGCGCACTGCATCAATCCTGATGATTTGGTAATAATAGTTAAATCGGCACTAAATGGTTCCTTCAATTAAGACAGAGGCAAAAAATTAATCTCAGGGCTTTATGTCACAAAACATTAGCGAGTGCAGGGAAGGTTACGGGAGGGGAGCGCGCACGGCGCAGGCGGCGGCAGGCGGTGCCATATGGCCGGGCTCAGCCCTGCCCCGCCGCCCTGCCCAGTTGTCCTGGCCAGGCTCCCCGGGGCTCCCCTGGAGGACCAGCCGGCGCGGGGGTGGGGGCCTGCCAGGGAGCGGGGGAGGGCAGCCCTAGGCTGCGCTGGAGGCCTGGCCCCAGCCCTGGGAGGTGGCCCGGGGCCTTCCCTGCTGGTCATCAGGCACCGAGCAAGGGCAGCAGCCTCCAGAAAGAGAAGGAAACCCTGTCCAGGGTCCTTTCTTCCTGAGGATCGGGGCTGCCCCACCCCCTCCAGCCTCCTCTGGAGCTGGAAGGTGAAAGGGTGCATGGGGCAGCCCCAGCACTAGGGTGCTGCAAGAGGAGAGTCCAGCCCGGTGCGGCCCAGGACAGGGGCCGAGCTCCCTGCTCGTCCCCACTAGAGCGAGGTGAAGCCGTGCAGCTGGGTGCGCCAGGGTATAGGACCCCAGCCCGGGTGCAGGTGCAGGGTGGGGTGCATCTGAGATCAGGGCAGCGGCCTTGGGGTGTCTGGGGACAGCTGCTGGCCCAAGCAGACAGCACCCAGAGGGCCCCGGAGCAGCACTGGGCGTCAGCAGGCGTCTGGGAGATGGGCGGGCGTGCAGGGGCCTCCCACAGGCTGGGGTCTGAGGACGGAGCCCCAGGGAGTACACCCAGCTTGGGGGAGCCCCTGTGCTAGGAGCAGAGCTCGGGCAGCAGCTTCTCTGGACGCCGCCCCTCCTCTCCCTGGCAGCAGCAGAAGCCGGGTAGACACACATCCAGGCACCTCCCCAGGTCTTCTCTGCTCCTGCCCATGTTCCCAGCTGCCCACTGCCTGCTGAGGGTCGGGCGGGACCTGCAGGCCCTACCGAGCACTGCAGACACAGCCGGCACCGTCCTGTCTGGCCACGGGGAGGCCGGGCATGGCTCGGAGCTCGAGCTGCGGCTAGAGCCCTGACGCCCGAGCACAGGGCCAGCCCCAGCCCCGCCTGCGGCCTCCGGGTCTGCCCATCCTGTCACACTCGTCCAAGAGCTCCCTTCCCAGCCGGGTGAGAGGAGGGGGCAGTGAAGGCGACGCCCCACTTCAGCATGGCAGCAGCCCTCCTGGTCCCCTGCAGTCCTCTGTCCCCGGAGCCCAGCATGAAGGCACAGCATGGGGGCCTGGACATGCAGCTGCCCCCTGCAGCCCACCAGGCACCCAGGCCGCCACCAGGCAGATGGGCTTGGGGGGATGGGCCAGGGTGCCCAGGTGTGGGGCCAGCCCACACCCCTTGCATGCCTGCCCCCAGGGCGGTGCGGTCCAGCCTGAGCCTGCTGTGTGCTGAGCTGCGGGGCGGTGACGAGCCCCCAAAGAAGCGGAGCAAGCTTCAGAGAGGCATGTGCGCGGGCCTGCAGGCCACCTCCGCGGTGAGTGCCCCACTCGGCCAGGCAGGTTGGGAGCAGGGGCCCCACCGCCCAGCCTTGCCTGGAGGAGCTGACCTGTCCCGGCGGCAGAGGCCATTGGTGGGGTGGCCTCCTTGCTCAGGACGGGGGTCCCGAGTCAGGGGTGAGGATCATGTGTCAGGTGCACCCTGGGTGGAAGTGGCTCCCCCAAGGGTACCAGCACCCCTTTCCCTCTCTGCACGGCAACTGCCCCCCATGCAGGGCGCAGGGGACAGGTGAGAGGCGGCTCCTTCCCAGTGCAGGAGTCTGTCCCCATGCCCAGGACACAACCAGCCGCCCAGAACCAGCCTCGCAGGGGTGTCAGGAGCACGGCGGCGGGGCAGGACTCCAGCAGGCAGGCCCTGTGCCCGCTTTGGAGGGCCAGGCCCGGCAGGCACTGCGGGCCGTGAGTGCAGCGCGCCCCTTTGCAGGAGAGGGCGCGGTACAGGAAGGGCGGCGCGCAGGAGCTGGCATCCGCGGTGGCCCACAAGGCTGCCCAGCTGAAGCCGAAGGTCAAGAGCAAGGGACTGCCCGCCGGCCTCAGCCCTTTCCGGCGGAAGGAGGCTGCCGCAGGTGGGCGCATCCGGAAGAAGCTCTCCCGAGCCAAGAGCGCGAAGGCAGCCGGGGGGGCCCGGCTCCCACAGCCCGACGGCAGCAGCGGCGGCAGGGAGACGCCCAGGTTCCCGGGCCGGCCGGCCGTGGCCCGAGAGACAGGCAAGTGGGTGGCCTGAGCACCACAGCGGCCCTCGGGGCGGGGGCAGGCAGAGACAGCTGGTCCCCAGAGCCAGGCCCCGACAGAGGCTGGGCTAGGCCCTGCCCCCCGCAGGGCCAGGGGAGGAAGAGGCCCCGCATGCATCCTGGAAGAGGGTAAAAATAGCCACACGCCTGCCTTCCCACGGCCGCCCGCCGGGCTGACCTGGGCTTATCTGGCCCCAGCAAACACACCCCTGTGCAGAAGCAGGAGCCGCGGAACTAGACACTTCCCGGCCCTCCACCGGGCGGTCCCGCTCCAGAGACAACAAAGGGGCCTGCGGGGGCCAGGGGCAGAGGAAGCAGGGTCAGCACGGGGGCGCGCTGCCTGGGCCTGAGACACAGGGGCTTGTAGGCGGGAAAGACTGGGTCCCACCACCCCCCAGCAGCCAGAGGATGGTGGTGTGGGCTCCACTCAGACCCCAGCACGTCCACACAAGGAAACAGCCTGTTCCACCCCAAAGTGGTGCTTCTCCAACCGAGTCACCTGTCTCTGCGGCCCCCAGGCAGCGGCTATGACAGCGAGGGCTGCGAGGGTCTGCTGGGGACGGAGGCCCCACCCAAGGAGCCGGGGCTGGCTCTGCACCCTGCTGCGCTGGGGCCTTCGCCCTCCTCCGTGGTCAAGATGGAGGCCAACCAGAAGGCCAAGAAGAAGAAGGAGAGGCAGGGCTTGCTAGGTAACCGGGAGGCGAGGGCGCGTGGGCCGGCCGGCAGGGCCCCGGACGCAGGCACGCTTCCCACGCCCTCCCTCCACAGGGGCCTGCCGCCTGTCCAGCCCAGAGAGCGAGGTCAAGATCAAGAGGCGGACGGCGAAGACCAAGGTGAGCGCCAAGCTAGAGCGGCCCCCGGGGCGCCGGCCCCCAGGGGCGCCGGGCAAGAAGAAGGCCAAGGGCCAGGCCAAAGGCAGCCTGCGGACAGAGCCGGGGGCCGCCCCCAGCAGGGACGCCCTCTTCAGCCCCGCCCGGGCCTTCTGCCGCGAGGAGGGCAGCAAGCTGGCCAGTGAGCGCCTCAAGAGAGCCACCCGCAAGGGTACCCTGCTGCAGCCCGGCCTGCGGGTGAGCCTGGCGCCGGTGTGCCCCGGGGGTGGGGACCAGGCAGGGAGCCCCCGCCAGCTTCGGCCTGAGTGGCCGCAGCTGGCACGGCTGGGGCTGGTGCGGTGACTGCCCACCCACCCCGCAGCGCAAGAACGGGGCCCTGTCCATCGCCCTGTCACCCCGCAATGCCAAGGCCATCCTGGGGAGCAGGAAGCTGGGCAAGGCGAAGGGCAAGGCCGCCGGCAAGCAGGTAGTGCCCCGTGTCCCCACAAAGGGTCCCAGGCCTCCCCAGCCTGGCCCGGAGCTGACCCTCCTGCCCTCCAGGGTCAGGGCCGGGCGGTGAGCCGGCTGCTGGACAGCTTCGCGGTGGAGGACGACTTTGCCTTCGACGACAACAGCAGCTTCTCGGAGGAGGAGGCGGCGGCCGGCGGCCCCCTGAGCATGGAGCAGAGCGCCGCCCTCGGTGAGCACGGGCCAGGCGGGGCGGGTGGCCGTGGGCAGCCGTGGGCGGCCATCTGACCCTGCTGACCCGCCCGCAGCGCGCTCCTGCACCATCCACAAGGAGGACCTGCAGGACGGGCTGCCCGTGCTCATCCCCAAGGAGGACAGCCTGCTGTACGCGGGCAGCGTCAGGACCCTGCAGCCCCCTGACATGTGAGTGGCCGGCGCGGGCGGGGCGGCCGGGCGTTGTGGGGACCGAGACCCTCACGCTCCCGGACGCCCCTCAGCTACAGCATCGTCATCGAGGGCGAGAGGGGCAACCGGCAGAGGATCTACTCCCTGGAGCAGCTGCTGCAGGAAGCGGTGAGGGGCGCCCGGGGGGCCTGGCAGCGCCCTGACCCCAGCCCGCCCCGCCTGCTCACGGCACCGCTGCCCCCAGGTCCTCGACGTCCGGCCGCAGTCCAGTCGGTACCTCCCACCCGGCACAAGGGTCTGCGCCTACTGGAGCCAGAAGTCCCGCTGCCTGTACCCCGGCAACGTGGTCCGAGGTGAGCCTCAGGGCCGGCCAGGCACGGCTTTGTGCGCGGGGCCCTGCTTCCGGGCTGCGGCCGGGGCCAGAGGAGAGAGGACGCCCCAGCAGCCCGGGGAGGGGCTGGGAGGCTCTGGCTGGTGGGAAGGGGCCCCAGCGCCCCACTCCTGGGCTCCAGAAGCGGGGGACATGCCCTGGCCGGGTGTAACCTGCACTCTGCGCTCTAGTACGGGCAGTGGGGCCGGGCCCCGGAGGGGTAACGGACTCGGTGGAGGCCGGCGGGTCCTCCCCACGCGCCGTGGCAGCTCCTAGGCCAGATGGGATCGGGGAGTGGGTCCCCCGGCCTGTCTGTGCGGGCCCAGAGCCCCTCCCGGGACCCTCCCCGTCCTGGCCGCCCGCGTGGGCCCGAGCGAGGGGCGCGTGCTGAGGCGGCCCGTCCCCAGGCACCTCCAGCGACGAAGAGGAAGACCTGGACTCCGTGGTGGTGGAGTTTGACGACGGGGACACGGGCCACATCGCCGTCTCCAACATCAGGCTGCTGCCCCCCGATTTCAAGATCCAGTGTGAGCCTTGTCCTGTTCTGCCCGTAGCCCCGGGGTGGGGGCGGAGCAGGGCCTCCCTGGGTCCCAACGGGCCCCCAGGGGCGAGGGTCCCCGCAGCACTGCCCTGAGGCCACTCCCGCCCGCAGGCACAGAGCCCTCGCCCGCCCTGCTGGTGTCCAGTGGCTGCCGGAGGACCAAGAAGACACCCCGCGAGCCCACCGCTGGCGAGGCCGCTGCCCCCAGCCCGTCCCCCAAGCCCCACGACGGCCCTGAAGCCTCCAAGACCCCAGCCAAGAAATCCATCGGCAAAGACAAAGCTGGTACTGGGGGGCTGAGAACCCGGGGCCGGGGCGGGGGCAGGGGACGCGGCCTGGGGGGTCAGGTCCTGACTCGTCCCGGCCTCCCCCCAGGCAAAGCGGAGCTCCTCCCCAGCGGCGCCAAGCCCGCCCCCGGGCCCGGGGACCCCCTCCTGGGCCGGCGTGGCGGCCCCCTGCTGAGCTGGTCGGCGGTGGCGCAGGCCCGGCGGAAGGCGGCGGCCGCGGCGGGTGGCAAGGGGCCGGCCGTGCTGCAGAACCTCTTCCAGCTCGGCGGCGGCGCCAGGAAGCTGCGGGCCCGCGAGGCCCTGTTCCCGGTGCACGGCCTGGCCGCCCCCGTGTTCGGCAACGGCTTCGAGGCCGGCTCCTTCGGCAGCCTGGCCGGCTCCTACGTGCCCTTCGGCGGCGGCGGGGCGGCCCACAAGCTGCTGCGGGCCAAGAGGGCCGAGCGGGCGGAGGCCGACAGGGCCGGGCGGCGGCGGGCCGGTGGCGAGTTCTTGGTCAAGCTGGACCACGAGGGCGTCACCTCCCCCAAGAACAAGAACTGCAAGGCGCTGCTCGTGGGGGACAAGGACTTCGGGCCCAAGCTGGGGCGGCCCCTGCCCAGCCCCAGCTACACGCACCCGGCCCTGGCGGGCAGGGACAGGAGGGGGCGGGCGCCCGCGCACCCGCTGCCCGTGGGGCTGGCGCTGCGCAAGTTCGCCGGCCAGGCCGAGTACCCGCTGCCCTGCGACAGCGACTGCCACAGCTCCTACTCGGACGAGGAGGAGGACGGGCCCGGGCTGGCGCCCGGCGTGCCCCCCCGCTTCCTCGCCCGCCTGCCCGTCTCCTCCTCCTCCTCGGGCTCCTGCTCGTCCTCCTCCTCGGGCTCGCTGTCCACCTCCAGCCTCTGCTCCTCGGACGACGAGGGCTCCTCCTGCAGCTCGGACGACGAGGACCCGTCGCTGCTGCTGCAGACCTGCCTCACCCACCCGGTGCCCGCCCTGCTGGCCCAGCCTGAGGCCCTGCGCGCCAAGGGGGGCGGCCCCCACGTGCACGCCCAGCGCTGCTGCCTGCCCCGGGCCGCGGGGGCCAGCGGGGGTGCGGGCGCCGGCCCCAGCGGCGGCAGGTCCAAGCTCAAGTGCAAGGAGCCCCCGAGCTTCTCCAAAGCCAAAGAGCTCTCCCGGAGGCAGCGGCTGCCCTCCGTGGAAAACCGGCCAAAGATCTCCGCCTTCCTGCCCGCCCGGCAGCTCTGGAAGTGGTCGGGGAGCCCCACGCAGGTAGGCGGCGTCTCCCCGCAGCAGGGCGCCCCTCTCTCTCCCTTCTGGCTGTTTAGTTTTTTTCCAGAGATTTATTTATTTATGCACACAGGGCTGGGGCACAGACCAGAGGTGCGGGGGGTGAGAGGATTCCACAGAGACAGAGCAGGGAGCAGAACAGGCAGCCTGACTGAAACCCACGGCTGAGGGGAGCAGCGGGGAGGCAGGAGAGGTCTGCTGCGCCCTGTGGGTAGCTCCCTGGCCAGCCAGGGATCGAACTTGTGCTGCAGAGGCGGCGGACAGCTTCATAGTGCGGTGCTTATCCCCTTGTGCCCCCAGGGAGGCCCCCCTTCTGGTTGTTTTGATTCAGTTTCAGCTGGGGGGGGGTGAATCCCGAGCGCCCCCAGGGCAGCGGGGCAGGTCTGTGCAGCACCCCGCCCCAGAGCAGTCCTGGGCTCCACCCTCACGTGGCTCAGCCCCGTTGGGCGAGATGCAATCCACCGGCATGGGAAGGCGTCTCCACCGAGGCCGCGGAGCCCTCCCTGCCCTCAGGTCCCTGTTCCTTTCGAGCCAGTTGCTGCATGTGACATCACACTTGGGTGACGTCACACTCGGGTGACGTCACGGCCATGATGTCCAGGCAGGCAGGCCCAGCCCAAGCAGCAGCAGCACGGGGGACCCTCCCCCAGCGGCCCCGCCCGGGCCCCTGCCCACCCCTCCCCCCGCGCTGTCCCCTGCAGAGGCGGGGCATGAAGGGGAAGGCCAGGAAGCTGTTCTACAAGGCCATCGTCAGGGGCAAGGAGACGCTGCGTGTCGGCGACTGCGCCGTCTTCCTGTCGGCCGGGCGGCCCAACCTGCCCTACATCGGCCGCATCGAGAGCATGTGGGAGTCGTGGGGCAGCAACATGGTGGTGAAGGTCAAGTGGTTCTACCACCCGGAGGAGACCAAGCTGGGGAAGCGGCAGAGCGACGGGAAGGTGAGGCGGGTGGGGTGGCCGTGGGGCCCAGCGGCCAGCGGCGGGCGGGGCCGAGCAAGAGCGGGGGGTGGGGGGCTTCAGGGACACCCTTCCCGCTCCCGGCACCCACGGAGCCCCCGGTCCTGTGCCTGCGGGTCCTGGTGAGGGGCGGGGTGCGGGCGGCGCTCAGCACGGGCAGGCCGCGTGGCCCCGCCCCGGGCCCAAGGGGCGCCCCGGCTCCTGCTGCCAGCCTGGGCAGGGCCCCCCAGGACCGGGCGCCAGCGGGGCTGACCGTGCCCCTCCCCCAGAACGCGCTGTACCAGTCCTGCCACGAGGACGAGAACGACGTGCAGACCATCTCCCACAAGTGCCAGGTGGTGGGGCGCGAGCAGTACGAGCAGATGGCGCGCAGCCGCCAGCACCAGGGCCGGCAGGACCTGTACTACCTGGCGGGCACCTACGACCCCACCACCGGCCGCCTGGTGACCGCCGACGGCGTGCCCGTCGTGTGCTGAGCCGCGGGCCGGCGCCCCAGGGGCGCGTCTGAGCAGACTCACGGCCGCAGCCGGGCTCTCGCTGTCGCCCTGGGCCCGGGCCCCGGGGCTCCCGAGATTAGAATCCAAGCCATATCCCCTAGTACCTCCGACCGCCTCCCACCAGGGATCGCGGAATCAGGTGTGTCGTCTATTTATTTCTCTCTGTAAATACGGTATTTCCACGGGGAAGTTCTGAAAGAGTGGAGAGGATTTCCCCACATGCGTGGCGAGGCTGTGCGTGTGTGCGTGCGTGCGTGTGTGTGTGAGGATTTTTGTTTTTGGGGGGGTTCTTTGAAAATGCACTGTTTTCCTCAGCCGAGCTGAGTTCTGACTGTGGCGTCTGCGAGGACAGGCCGCCGGGCAGGGCCCCAGGCGGGCGTCCACAGGCCCCTCGGCCACCTGCTCGGCCCCGGGGGGCTGTGCGAGGAGGAAATCACACCCAAGTGGATTTCCTTTCACTTCATCTCCTAGGAAAAAGTATTGGGGGGCTGGACCATGAGGCTCCCTCGGGAGAGAAGGCATTCCAGCAGCTGCAGTGAACACTGGGGCCCGTGGCCTCGCCCGGGCCAGCCCCGCGTCCCTTACCTCTGTTTAGAACAAAACGAAAACGAACCAAGTGTTTAAGGTGTTGCTACAAGGAAGTGACGTTTTGTTTTGTTTCCCGAATATTCCGAGTTGTGATTTCCGCTCCCACGGCCAGTTTGTCAGGCCCCAGCATGGCCGGAGGCTTCTGGGCCCCCTGCAGGGCAGCCAGCCGGGCGGGGGGCTGGTGCTGGAGCAGAGCGCGGGCCTGCCCCGCGTGCAGGGCCCCCAGGAGCCGCTCACCCCTCCGCCCCATCTGCGGGGGGGGGGCAGGGGACTCAGAGCCCCAGCACCCAGCACCTCCCTCGGCCAAGAGGGACAGAGAGGCGGGCCCAGCAGCCTTGTTTCTGAAACGCACTGAGGGGCACGTGCCCCCACATCTCACTGCACGGAGGATCCCGAGCCCCCCGGGAGGGAGGAGAGCCCCCCAAGTTAGCACTGCTCCTTAGGGCGAGCTCCTGTGAGCCACAGACACAGCCCCAGTCCCCAGGAAATAAGGGGATGTCGTAGGTGCCCAGCACCCTACCCCAGCCCTCTCGGCCCCCTTTCCACCCAGGAAACCCCCACCCTGCCCGCAGGGCCCTCCTGCCCTCCCGGCAGCTCCGCAGTAAGTGCAGGGACAGGGAGGCCCCGCACCCCACGCCCACCCGACGCTCCCCTTTGTCCCCCGCTCGAGTGCAATATTCATCCCTGGTGGTCGTCCTGGAGACGGTGGCCGGGAAGCAGCGTGCTGTGGAGAAGACGCCCCGGAGCCGGCTCCAGGCGGGGGCAGACGGGCAGGCACCCTCCGGCCTTCCCGACGACCCCGTCTCTGGTCTCGCCCCCCTTCTCCTGCCTGTGTGTGTGTGAATGGGGTCCCCTCTGACCGCGGCCCACGCGGCCACAGCGTGACTATTGTAAATGTGTAAACTAAGAGGATGGTTGGATTTTTTTTCAATGTAAACACTAAAAACAAACAAACAAAAAAACAAAGGTTTTATGAACAGCGAACTCTATGTAAAGCATTTTAGTATTAAATTTTTTATGGACAACTGGCTTAAGAATAAATCTATGGACTCGCGCAGGTCCCCGCTGTCCCCGCTCTGCTCTCGGCGGCGAGTGCCGGGGCCCAGGAGACCCCCGGGGCTGAGGGGCGCGCGGGAGGTTGGGAACAGGCGCGGGGCCTGGGCCCCAGAAGCAGACCACAGCCGAGCAGGGGAGCAAGCTGGGGCGGTCCTGACCATGACGTGGGGTGGCAGATCGGGGGGCTGGAAGCCGCCCCCATCCCCGGTACACGTTGAGGCTGCGGGCCCCCGAGGGCTTTCGGGGAAACCTAGCAGCAGGGAGGGGGCGCCTGACACCCTCTCCACCCCTGAGCGGCCGAGGAAGGGCCTGGGCGCCAGGCCCGGCCGGGGTTGGCCGGAGGCGCGCGGTCAGCAGACGCCCCGCGAGTGAGGCGCCGTGGCCGACGGCTGGGTCTGCGCACGGGCACCCGCGCCGCCCGCCCCACGTCCTCCGCTGGGCCGGGGGAGCCCAAGGCCACCGGCCGGAGCCCGGAGCACAGCGACCGGGACAGGGTGGGGGTCAGGCGCGGGGCCGCGTGTCTGCTGCAAGTGGGCCCCGAAAAGGCGGAGGGCGGGACTCGCCGGCTGAAGGCAGATGGCCCGGCTCCCGGCCCCGCGGGCTCAGCCGCCCCCTCCGCGGAGGTGGTCTGGCTCCAGCCCCGCTGCCCAGAGTCCCCGCCGCTCCAGGCGCTCCCCGCTGCGGCGGGAGAGGGAGGGGTGCCCAGGCTGCTCGGGTCACTGGGCCAGGAGCGGGGACTCCGGCGGAGGGAGCAGCTGGACAAGGGCTGGAGGCCACGTTGGGGGGAGGGGCCGGGGGGAGCCAAGTCCTCCATGGCCCCGTGGAGCCCCGCAGGACAGGGCCAGGGCCTCGGGCTTCCGCGCAGGGACTGGGCGGGAACCGGCCCTGAGGGCGCACGGGGTGGGCAGCGGGCAGGTGGGCCCGGAGCTGCGGGCGCGGGCCTGGACGCATCACTGGCTCTAGGCAGGGGGACGCCCCCTCGCGCCCACGGGTCAGTGGGGCCAGAGAAAGGCTCTAAGGGCCTGGGGCGGGCACGGGCACCCCAGAGCAGGCTTGGTGAGCCCCCAAGGGCCCGTTCCCCGCAGCCCCATCTCTCTCCTGCCCCCTCCCCCAGGGCCTCCCTGCCCCTCTCCGCCCATCTGAACTCAGGGCCGCCTGCCTTCCAGGACCCCCCGCCCCTCGGCAGCCCCGGGAGGGGCGAGGCAGCGCCGGGCATGAGGGCGCGGCCCTGAGGCTGCTGGGGCAGCCCCCGGGGGCAGCGCAGGGCCCTGGTGACCAAGGCAAACGAGCCATCACGTGACAGGCTGGGGCGAGACACACGCGGCCCACGGGGCGCTTTCCCTGGGGCCGGACGGCGCTGGCGGCGCTTCCGATTCCACGAGCTACCGGGCACCGGGCTGCAAGTGCCGTGCCCAGGCCGCGAGCGGCCGGACCCAGGCCCACATGGGGGCATCGGGCCTGAAGGAGAGGGTCCCGTGCCCCTGGGAGAGGCTCCTGGGAGGAAGGCCTGGCTCCGGGCTCCTGCCCACCGTGGGGGTCACGCAGCGCCAGCAGCCCCACCCAGCCCCGCGGGGAGGCGTCTCTCCTGCCCGAGCTCAGCACCCTCCCGGCCATGCAGGCCCGGCGCCATGCTGTGGACCCTGCCCTTCGCCCACTGGGTCCGGGTCCAGCTTTCCTGCCTGACAATCTTTGGGGCACAGGGGACTGCCCCGGAGCAATGCCACCGAGGGCCCCCCACAGCACCGGGGCTGGGCTGACGACTGGCGGAGGCTTCCAGAGGGGCGCCCCCTGGGCCGCTGCCTCCCTCCAGCCGAGTGCTGGGAGGCGCGGGTTGGCAGGAGAGCACCCACCAGCTGCTCCTGCTGCGGAGCCTGGCAGGACCCCCAGCCCCGTCCTCCCTCCACATGAGCCTGAGCCCCAGAGGTCCACCTGGACAATGGAGTCCCCGGAACCCTCGCCCGAACCCGAGGACGGCGGGAGTGTGGGGACCCCCGGCGCAGGCCCCGGGACAACTGGAGGTAGACTGAGGCAGAGCGGGGCTGGCAAGGGGATCCCTGCAGCAAACGGGGCGGGGGGCAGGCCTCCGCTCCAGAAGGGGTGGTGGGGAGCGCTCACGTGTCCAGTTCCAGCGCCTAAGCTGGCCCGGGCGCCCCATCAGACTGCAGGAGGCGCAGACGGTGCTGGGGTCCCCTCCTCGGTCAGTTCCGCGGCGCCCACAGCGAGCTGGTCACCCACAGATCCCCGACGCCACCACACCAGGTGACCGGCAGGGCCAGCGGAGAGGCGGAGGCCCCAGGTGCCCGCACCTGCCTCCAGGGCCAGGTCCGCAGCGCCTCACAGCCCCCTCCTCCCCCCACCCCCCGCACCCCGGGCGCAGGGGGCCCAGAGACAGGACAAGCCGCCGCCAGCCCACCTCGGCGACCGCGGCACAAAGTGAGGGAGGCCGTGCGGCCTGACTTATCGAGGGGCGCCTCACTGCAGCCCCTCCTGCCCCACGGTTCCCTTGCACCCACCAGCCCCGCCGCCAGCCCCCGACGCCACGGCTGCTCAGCACACAGCGCGCGTTTACGGGCCGTGACCGCGGGTGCCAGGGGTGCCAGGCTGTGCTCGGCACTGCCCTCCCATTCCCTCTCTCAAGCTGCCTGATGGCCCCGTTATCACCACCCTATGACGGGCCGGAGCGGAGGTGGGGGCCTGACAAAAGCCCCCTGACCCCCAAGTAGCAGAGACGAGGTAAGCCCACGGCCAGAGCCCCCAGTTTCACCTCCTTACCCGGCCTTCCTTCACCTCCTTCGTGGCCCCAGCTCCCACCTGGCCTGCAGCGCTGCCCCAAGAGCCCCTCCCGCACTCGCCCCCACGCTGCCGGCCACGCCGGGCCTCCCGGGCTGCGCGGCTGGACCAGGCACTTCAAACCTGCAGCACATTCTTTCCTCCCTGGGGCCCGGGCCGCGGTCCAGCAGAGCAGGGCACCCTTGAAAGGGTTTGCTGGGGGAATAACACCCTTGGCCCCAGAGGAAAGTCCCACCTCTGACCGCGCCCCCAAAGCGCGAGGCCACCCTCCAGCGAGCCCCTCCAGCGAGCCGAGGCGGAGGAGGCCGTCCAGCTCCGCGGCAACAGCCTCTCGGAGGGGCCGACCCTGCGGCCCACAGCCCGGCAGGTGCGCTCTCTGCCCCACCTGGCAGGGCACCTTTTGGGGGAGGGTCTCCCTACTGGAGGCTCCCGAGGGCCCTGCCAGGGCAGGCCCGGGCCTGCGAGGCGACCACGACAGCCGCGCCGGAGGGGCTTCTAGCCTCGCTTCCTCCGGCACAGGCCTGCGCGCCCAGCGCCCCGGCCCGGGCTGGCCTGCGGGCGGTGGGCACCCGCCACCCCCGCCCCGGCCCAGGGGGAGCCGCACGCGGCCGGCGCGGGGGGGAGAAGGGCGCGGACGGTCCCAGCCCCTGCGGGTCTCGGGCCCCTCCAAGGTCGCGGCGGGGACCGCGGTGGCCGGCGCCGCAGGCGGCCGGGGGCGGCACCCCGGGGCGCGGGGACAGCTGGGCGGCGCGGGGGTCCCGTGGAGGGCGGGGGGCGCGGGGCGCCGCGCTGTTCCCGGGGCGCTGCCGACCCCGAGCCCCGCCCGGGCGAGAGGACCGCGCCGCCCCACGTGGGGTCACCCGGGCCCGCCGCCCACGCGTCCGATTGGCCGGCGCGCGACCAATCAGAGGCCGCTGTCGGCGGCGACGGCGGCGATTGGCCGCGGCCGGGAGGGGGCGGGGCGCCCTTTTGTTCTGGCCCGGCGCCCCCCCCCCGCGCCCCCCTCGGCCCCGCCGCCGCGCGCCCGCCCCCCGCTCGCGCGCCCCGGCCCCCGCCGCCAGCGCAGCCCGGCCTCGGCCCCGCCCGTCGCCGGCCGCCGGGCAGCGCGGCTGTGGAGCGCGGCCCGGCTCCCCGGAGCACGTGGGCGCGGCGCGGAGGGGCGGCCCGGCCCGGGTTCCGCCCCCCGCCGCGGGCCCCCCGCGCCCCGCCCCGCCCCGCCCCGCCGGCCCCCGGAGCCCGCGGGCGCCCTCCGCGTGGGCAGCGCCGGCCCCGGAGCCCCGGAGCCCTGAACCCCTGGAACCCCGGAGCCCTGGACCCCTGGAGTCCCCGGAGCCCTGAACCCCTGGACCCCTGGAGCCCCAGAGCCCTGGAGTCCCCGGAGCCCTGGAGCCCTGGACCCCTGGAGCCCCAGAGCCCTGGAGTCCCCGGAGCCCTGGAGCCCTGGGGCGGCCTCGCCTCCGGCCGGGCCCAGTTGCCTGGAGCCTCACACCCGGGAGGCCGGCCCGGCAGGCTGCGGGCTCGCTGGGGACCTGGAAGCCGCCCCTGACCGGGGGGCCCCGTCCCTCCCTTCCACCAGCCGGGACCGCGGGGACCAGGGTCAGGGGCCCGACAGGGGGCAAGACCCAGGGTCTCCTCGGGCTCTGATCCGCCTGAGCTGGGGAAGCCCCGCCCGGGAGGTGCAGGGGACGCAGCCGCGAGGCCCGGGAATGGCGGCTGGACCAGGCGGCCGGGAAGCCGCCGGGCCTGGGAGTCCGACACCTGCCCCAAGGGTCCGGGTGGGCTCTGATCCCGCTCCGGTGCCACCCAGGGTGCCCACTGCCCGCTGGCGGCACCAGCGCCCAGGCCTGCGGGGGCCTCTCGCAGCGATCCCGCGCCCCGGCCGGCGTCCGCCGCGGGACAGACCGAGGCGGCGACCAGGCCCCGGCCGGGAGCGGCCAGCGGGCCGGAGGAGCGGAGCGGAGGGGCAGCCTGCCAGCGCCAGGGGCCTCCCAGGGGGGACGGGGTGCCGCCCAGAGCGGGAGGCGCCCGTGTCCCCTGCGGGCAAGGGTCCGGCTGGCCAGAGGGCACAGATCAAGGCAGCCGGCGCAGCGCGAGCGTCCGGCGGGCCCGGGGGAGCCTGACGGAGCTGATGCGGCCCGGCCCCACCGCCGCCCCGCCGCAGGCACCCTGGGCTGCCCCGCGCCCTCGCGCCACCCCGC